GAAGCTGTAACCAGGAGGGATCTTTTGGATCATCAGATACTATTCCCTGCTAATGCAAGGGTATCCTGTCAAGTATTATCACTGTAACAAACTTTTACAGTGCTGCTTTAATTCCACTTTTACTCCCATCTTCTGCTGCAGAGCTGATACTAGCTTGGTCACCCTTCTCTCAATCGAGGGGACAGCCAGTTTACATCTACCAGAAGCTGATCAATTTCTGAACAGCCAGAATAACCTTTTGTTAGTTTTCAGCATCCCTTAAAGGTCCTCTAAAAGGTGCTTCAGTTTCCAAATTTCCTCACCCAGGAGTCAAGTACTCCCACACAATTTTTCCAGTAATTTCTTTCTGAGGAAACAGAGTGCTCTAACCAGGTTCTGTACATGCAGTCTCATTCATTTGAAAGCCTGCTTCTTTCTTCTCCTATATGGTATCAATCATTTATCCCATCAGTCATATTTCCCATCAGCCCATCTTCTCACTCACATAGTATTCGTTACAATATTCCTATTTTTCCCAGTTTTCCTTCTATAAGCTGAAAATACTTCTCTCAGCCATCTCTCCCTGCTTCTATATTTCTCACAGTAACAGAGCTGTACATCTTGGTCTGCTTCTCACTACAACTGAACAGATATATCTGTTTCTCGCCCTTAGATGAGCCTCTAACCTTGGTTAGTTAAGCTGGAACTGTTACACCAAATCCCTGCCCAAGTCTGTCCCCCTTTTAATTGATTTTGGTTTTCTTTAAACTCCTGGTATTAAGAGAGGAAGTAGCTGGTAAATGTATAACCATGAGGAATACAGAGAAGAGGAATGGTGGGACAGAGATGCATAGCCAGACTTGCTTTACCAAAAGAGGAAGACAGGTGAGACAAGGACAGTGTAGAGAGGGGAGAAGGGAGCCAGACCTTAGTCTAGACCATGGACAGAGGACCTGGGTGAGTCAGGTAGCAGAAATTCTTAAAGCTGCAGCAGCACACACCTTCAGAGCTTTAATTTGAACTCCAGAGTCCTGCTGCTCTAATCTCAGCAGAAGGTTCTATTATGTTCACTAGAAAGTCTATGATCCATGAGTGACTAGATTCAAATGGTACTGAACAGATCTTGTCCCATGTCTCACCCCTTGCCCCTTTGCAGCTGAATGGAGCTGCCCTGTGCAGACATGCCAAAAGAAGAAAGGGGTACAACTGATGCAAAGGGAGCAGAAATAGGATTACAGAATCAGAACACTGAAGGAACTGGAGACTGTGCTGCATAGTATTGGATTTGAATCTATATATACCATCATATTAAAAAAAATTAAAGCAAACAAGAAAACTCTGAGCTATGAGCCTGTAATTTAACCTCATTAAGGTCTAGTGGCATATGAAATATTGTGGTAGGTTGAAGTCACCTGACCCTGAAGTGAAATCTGTTCCCAAGCCTGCTAATCTTACAGATGAAGTGACATTTCAAAGACCACTAGTACACTTGTGAGTCAAAACAAGCACAAACCCAAACTGCACAAGGCATTGTAGTAGTTCCCACTCAGAAAGATGACAGAGGATTTTTTGGTGTGGATTTTGCCTGTAATCCCTTATGTTGAAGGGCAGTGTTTCTTTTCTGTCTGTAAGGATTTGCTCTTCAGGGAGAGAAGGATGTTTGTGGGAAGTCATGTCTTATCTCTCAAGACAAAGCTGCAGCTTCCAATGATGTGAAGACACAGTTTACACAATTTTCAGTATTTTTAAGGGAAAGCTTTTTTGGTGGAAAGAAGATTAAGTGACAAGAGCCCCCTAAAGGCCAAGGGCAGCTTCAAGAATCTTCTTGCCTAGAGAGGCTCTAATACTTTTAGAATATGGGTATTTTGCTCTTCTCCTGTACAAGCTTTTACATGACTTATGCTAAGCTCAAACTTGTTTACTATATATTTTTCCAGCAGTTTTACTAGAAAACCTTCTCTTGTGAGGAAAGAGAGCCATGAAGTTATGGTCCCATCTACCTCTAGATTAAAGAAAGCTTAGTAAGTATGCAAAGTTAGTGCCACTTAATGTGAGTTCTCTGCTGTGTAAGAATTGCTACTAAAATAAAGGACATGATATTATTTATCTATTTATTTATCTGTGCAAGACAACTTCACTTGTGATTATTTTAATTATCTCTGATCTTTATTAGGGGTAACTTCTACTTTAATCCTCATTAAATTAAATTAAATTAACTTAATCATAGTCAAAATTATTGATTTCACTAGATTCATTGAAGCCCTTTGTGATCTTAATTCTGCACTAAGATGGATAAGACAATAGTCAAAATAATGGCAATATCTGCTGGACCTCAGAGAACAAAATATATAAGAAGAAACAAGTTTCTAAAGTGAGAAAGCATTAATATATTATACAATAAAAATTTTATGCACCTTGTGGGAAAGTATAATTACCTACACAATATATATTTCACACTGCATATATGTTATAAAGTCCTTGGTTATTAATTTTTTTAAAATTAGATTTGTGAGTTATTTACCACTATATTGGCTTTCAATCCTTCTGTATGTCTACTCTTTTTCTGGGCATAATTAGTTGCTATGTAATCTAATTAACAGTTTACATCTTTTCCATCAACTAATTCACAAGCTAAAATACCTTTGGTTTTTTTTCCTTAATGGTTTCTTCTAGTAATTTATATTTGACAGGTTGTACTCTTCATGGTTTCAGTCAAGAGGGATATCTCTAGAAGCTTCTTTCCCATATTGTTTCATAATTTTTCAAGTTCATTTCTCTACCCAGCTTATTCCAGGAGGATCCTGCTTCACTTAAATATGCATTAAACTTAAGTGTATAGCAGAATACTCTAGAAGTTATCTAAGCCTTCTAAATTAAGAAGGAGCTTAAGACCTTGTTGAATTAGGGTGTACGTGCCCTATGAGATGCTGAGATATCTACAGTTTCACAAGAAGAAACTTTGTGGTTTGCTATTTTCTTTTACCATACCTTTTTTTTTAAGGCTTTTATCTGATTAAGATAAATTTTCTGGAATTAGCAGAAATTATGACACCTGTGGTATTACTTCTGCTCATTTTTCACCTTCATTATGCTCAATTTAAATAAATTTTGCAGTTAATATTGCATTTCCTTTTACTTATGTGACCTGATTTCTACAGTAGTCAGTCTTCTTTTTACCTCTTACCTGCTATCTGCACAGTGGAAACAAAAATGAGGGGAGAAGAGGACTGCAAGGGGAAGATTCAGATACTAAATTGTAAAGAAATTAAACTGCTTTCATTTGAAACCAGGAAGGTTCTCAGTGAAAAGTGAGCAATAAGGAAAGTCTGCTGTATGTATGCATATGATTTGGGAGGATGCTTGGAAGAAAGAATATGCTAAAAATCTTCATCTTGAGGTTGCAAGTTGAAACTAAAGAGGAAGTAAAATGCAAATGGAGTGACACTTAAGGAGAGCCAGGCAAAGAATCAACACAGAGGTAAACACTCTTACAAAAACAATAGAGGTAAACAATCTACACAAAAGCTAGAAGGCTAAAAATAAACTGGGAATGTCTATCTCAAAATAAAGACACTGATTTACTAAGCATATCAAAAACCTGGTGACAGGGAAACAATCACTGGAGTACTGAAATGCCATGACAAAAAAAAATATTTAGTGAAGAAACAGTAAACAGTGCTGCTGTCAGAATAGATCAACATGTTTATGACAGTATAGAGGTAAACCTCATCAGTAAGCCAACCATCTCAGGAAAGACCCAAAAATCTACATGGTTTTACATTCCAGGCCTAAACAATGGGATAATGACTTTGTGTGACTGACTATTCCCAGTGAAAGGCCAAATGTGCTGCCAGAAAACCCAATTGTTTGGGGTTACTTCAGTGATCTTCATGTACTCAAGGGAAATGTCACATAAATACTTTGTGTGGGACTCTAAGAAGAGGCAAATAATTTATAGGTTAATGACTGTCCTCCAATTAAGCATCCACCCCTTCTTCTAGAACTTCCTGAGCAAACCTATACTAGAGAATCTTCCTCAGAGACTTTACTCTTTTATTATACCAAGGCTGAAAGATGTCAAATGTATCTCCAGCCTTAAAAAAGGGTTTGGGGAAGGATGGAGGAGGAACATCATGAGCTACTGTACTCTAAGCCTGGCAAGTGTCCAAGGCCACTAAGTAGAGGCTGCTTATAGTATAGAGATTCAGCTACTTGTAGCTTTGTTTGAGTGTCTGGTTTCCATTCCATCTGATGGCATCTGAATAAATTCTGTAAACTTGGGAAGACCTAATATGGATTCCCTTAACAGAAATCCCACCTTAAAAACCTCGTTTGGGGATATATAAATCTATAAAATTTTGGATAAAATACAGGCTGTCCAATAAGGCAGGAGGAACAGACTCAAAACAAACAGAAGGAGGTGGTTCCTCCACTTCATCAGGCAGCAGATCTCTATGACAGGGTGGCACAGGTGCAATTCATAGGGGTCAGGGGAACACAGCAGAAGTAAAAAGAAGAAAGATCCAGAGCAGACTACTAATTGAGCAATGAAAAGGCCAGGAGATTTCTCAGCTGAACCCAGCTAGAGATTTGGAAAGAATCAGAAGAGTGTACATGACTGTCCTATACCTCTCTATCGTGGCTGCTTATGGATACTGCTGGAGATCACTTTCCAGGTTGAACAGGCCACTGATCTGAACCAGTGCCCCCTATTCTTACAAGGGAAAAAGATCAGCACAGCCTGGGCCACATGGATATGCTAGTGTGTCAGGCAGCCAGCACTGCTGTGGGGAAAGGATGGAAAGGAGAAAGAGTTCTGGGAAAGAGCAGGAGGAAAATGGATCAGGTTGGCCAAAACAATTGAGTGATGTCACTCACTGAGGGCAGATGGCAAAACCCCTCAGGAAACCTCCTGCATGGTTCGTGAGACAAGCAAATTTTTTTTAAATTCTAATGAGTAGGAGCAGCTTTTCAAAATTACTATTTATTCCATAAAAAAACTAATAATAATGTTTGTTGATTTGTATATTATCCATCACTTCTTCAGTGGTCTTCTGGAAGAGATTTTTGTTGTTGGACAAGTTCCAGTATTTATGGCCCCTAAAACGAACAAAGAAAATATCAGCAGATTCTTTTACTAGTAAAAATGCAGAGAAATACCTAAGAAACTAGGAAAATTACACATTTTAAACTGTGATATTATAAAATTTTCCCAAAGGTATTTTAATTAACAAGTGAACTGCAGTAATAACTAAGACCATTGCCTTAAAAAATGAGTACCCCAATAATTTCTTTTCAGTAAGTAAAATTTACTTCAGTTGTAATTTATGACATATCTTTACAGTTCAGAATCTCTCTACAAATCCTCTTCCCCTGCATACTTTTCAGGGGGCTAATTAATTTCATGTGCAAATGGTTGCAAAATATTATCTATTTTCATTATTACCACCCTAATAGGATTAAATTGGTAATCACTTTTATTCTAATGAAAAGTCATAAATATCTCCTTGCCTTTTTCTGTATATTTTATTTTCTATACCATCAGACCAAAGCTGCAACAGCAGACTGGGCTTGCACACTTGGCTGCTTCCCTTCTCCCCAAGCTCAGCAGCAGCTGATTTACTCAGTTGTTAAAATAGACTGGCAGTCTGAGCTGCTGCTGGTGTTCAACAGTCAGCCTCACCTGTTCAGCCTATCGCTGCCAAATTCAAAGGGCTTTATTCTACCCCTCAATTTCTCTTTAAATAACACAATAGTGGAATACTGAGTTTGCACATAGTGCCACATTAAGTAACAACACACATGCTGGAGGGCAGGATTTGCATTGCTGAGAAGCTACATAAATTGTTTGAGAAAATCAGAATTCAGTTCAAATAGGACCATTTAATGACACCACTAGGCAAAAATTATCAGCTGAGCCATGAGGCAGGAGCAAAGTGGGGTACAAGGAGAACCTAAATCAACACTCTTAGACCATGGTATGAGACAAACACCATCACTGGCAGCTGCAAGAAACTTGAAATATATAGCACAAGCAGTGCAGAGCAAAATTTAAACTATGCCTTGCTTTGGGCACACTCTAGAAGGGGGATGCATATGCACAGAGGGTGGCAAACAAAGTACTGAAAAGAGAATATGAAGCCACAAGGAAGAATTGAAAGAGCTGGCTTTTAGTCCAGAAAAGTAAAGCATGAAAGGAAGAATAATACTAGATTGCGAAAGGGTAGTGTAAAAAAAAGAAAAGGGAATGGATCGCTCTAGACACTTATGAGGGACAGAACATAGTGCAAAATAGGCTTGAACTTCAGGAAAGAAGATATAAGGATGTTTCCAGGAAAGCTCTCTATAGACAAGGACAGTGGACCAATAGAAGAGCTGATGTGAGAAAGATATAGAGCCACCATTATCATGCATTTCAAATAAAATATAGGACAAGCGTCTGTCAGCGTCGGACATGCTACTGACCTTATTCTGAGGCAGAAGCAATAAACCAGATGACTTTTCAAGAATCAAGTTCTTTTTCATGTATATAAATGGTTTAACTCATAAGTCTCTGCACAACAATCTCTTTATTGATACAGAATTGTTCAGAAAGAACAGAGAATATAAACTGATCTTGGAATTTTTTGACCTTGTAACCAGGTGGGAGTCTTGAAACAATCTAAAGTAACACCTGGGCTTTTTCTAGGTGTGCTTTCAGCACCCCTCTGAAAGCATTTTGGCCCCAAGAGATTGTATAAATTCAGCAAATGAAGTTTTAACTTCAGTTATTCTCCTTTATGAGCAATAATCAACTTTAAACTGCATCTACCATGCCACAGGGGTCTTCCATTGCTTGCCTTAGACAGAATTAGTTCCTTTGCACACCCCAGATAATGGGCCAAGTGCTTAGAGATTCCTCTACTAGTTTGTATCTCTACAGCATCTTATCTCCCAAAGTGCTTCATGGTGTTATGAGGACATCTCGTCAAAATGGAATGAGCCCTGAGCAGAAAAGGCAAATGCCAAGGAAAATTATGTGTGCTGTACACCTTAGGAAAAGAGCAGGAAAGTAATTCTGGTAATGACAAGAAGAAAAAGCAGAGCTGGATCTTTGACATACACAGTGCAAGCATACCCTCATTTGATGGATGCCATTCAGAAGAATTACTTCTAAATTGATTCCCCAAATATACTGCTCCCCAAACCATGATTATGCACAGTGCAAATATATCCCATTTGAATTCTCCTAAAACTCTAATGCATAACAGTAGGAAAGCAAACTGTGCTTTCTAAATGTCAGAAAAATTTAATAAAGCCTGAAGAAGGATATGAATGTTTCTACCTTTTATTTGGAGCTGTAATTTGTAGTTATCAATGATTATGTTCATTACTGAAACACAGTGCAATGGCTGAAGTACCTAATTCAAACTGTGTGCATTAACTAAAATATAAATGCAATCATAATTTCATAGTCAGACTCACTATGCCAGACCCTTAATAAATGTAAATTATCAGCTGAAGATCTGGACCAGCTTTGCTGTCTCTTCCTCCCAATTTAAAAGGAAATACCATTAGTTGTACATAAGAGATACTGATGCTTCTGTTTTAATTAAACACAGCAGGACTTTTACATTTTTATGGCATTGCCTAAAAGGAGCTCACAGATCAACCTAGTCAAAGAATCCAGACTGCTCATAGCAGACCTGAAGATGGAAAGAGTCATTATGAGTCCAAGATTAGTATTAACCATGACAACAATGATTGCTGACACAAAAAGAAATGGAACCTGTCTGTAGTACACATGAAAAGCAAAAAGAGATGCTTGGCAAATATAAATGCTAATGAAAAAACTTACATCTAAATAATGCCTGATGAGTTCATGAATTCAAATTATTTCTCAATCTTGTATTAACTATCATTTAATAGCTTGGTTAACACAAGCTCATTTCAAAGCAATCAGCAACTGCTCTTTCTATTCCAATGTGCAAAGTTAAGTGATGTCCAGCTCCAACAACTGCGTATCTGATATATTCTAGATAATCTTGAGGTGAAACAATAGTCTGCTTGCACAAAGCATACTACAAAGTCACATACTTCTCACTTCACTGCCCTGTTTATTTACCCAGACTAAGCTCCTGTGAGCGCAGCTTGTCAGAAGAGTAACTGGGCTCACAGGCCCATCAATCAATCAATCCAAATGGACAGTAAAGCTTATTCTGAAGTTCAGCACAGATTTTTGTGAAGAAAATGTAAGCCTCTGAAATACTTGGAGATGTAAATAAATTCACTGTGATGTCTCTGTGTGTTGCTATGAATACGTTAAGGGGACACTGTCAAGGTTGTTTGGCTAAGAAATTGTTAGGCACGAAATTTAAAACAAATAAAGCCTACACAAGACTTACTGTGTAACTCAGCAAAAACAAACCTGAGCCAGATATTGTTTGGTTCTTGCTGGTTTTGTTGTGGGTATTTTTGTTGTTGTTGGGGGCTTTTATTTGGTGGGTTGTTTTTAAATTCATGACCTTGAGAGAAGGTGGCTTACCAAATGAATAAATTACAAGAATGAGAAAGCCAAGATATATGTGAGGCATTTTTTGGTAGGGCATTTTATTTTTGTATATCAAACTTAAATAATAGATGTGGGGAACCAGATCAAATTTAAGCACATCACTGAAAAAAAAATCAGAGTCCACTCAGAACATATAAACCCATGAGAGCTGTAATACCTGCTAACCATTCTTTTAAAGCTGTTTTATTCCTGTATTAAGTCAAAAAATTAATTATGCCATATTTCACTGCCCAAAGGTTTTAGAAATGAGAGGACATATTTAATCTCTTTCAGGTACCTAAATGAATATAGAAGACAATACCTCACCAGTTATTTTTTTTTCTTACAAAAGGCAAATATGTGGCCACTGTGTTTCTAATTGCATATCCAGCAAAAGAAAATACCTTTTTAAGAAAGCACTAGAGTAACATTAAGTAGCAGGAAATAAAATTATATCTCTGTATTTACTCTGACAAACCTAAACCAGAACTATTCACTTTTCTGTCAGAAAAATATAATCCATTAAGTGCATTCATATGCTTTCTTTTTCTGGTCTCTTTTAAAGGTGTTTTTTCATCTCAGGCAAAACTTTATGGAAAATCAATTGTTTTGTCTTCTAATATATACTCCTCTGGTTTCTGTTTTATTTTGTTTCTCCCAGTGAAGCTTTCAATATCACCTTTATCCTCTATGTTAATCATTTCCAAAATCACTATGAAACACTTTTTCCCTTTTTTGTGTATCTAAAAATACTGCTGTTTTTATTATTCAAGACCACACAAAATATTCCAACCAACACACAAAAACTTAAAAAAATGCATATAGACTATGCTTAATATTGTCTCAATCAAAAAGGACACTGAGGTGCTGGAGTGTGTCCAGAGAAGGGCATCAAAGCTGGGGAAGGGTGTGGAGCACATGTCCTCTAAGGAGCTGCTGAGGGAGCTGGGGGTGTTTAGCCTGGAGAAAAGGAGAGGTGACTTTACCACTCTCCACAGATTCCTGAGAGGAGGCTGTAGCCAGGTGAGTGCCAGCCTCTTCTCCCAGGCAACTGCTGACAAGACAAAAGGAAATGGCCTCAAGCAGCATCAGGGAGGTCTAGACTGGATATCAGGAAGAATTTGTTCACAGAAAGGTGTTGTTAGACATTGGAATGGGCTGCCCAAGAAGGTGGTGGAGTCACCGTCCCTGGAGGCATTTAAGGAAAGACTGGGTGTGGTGCTCAGCACCATGGTCAGTCTAGACGGCATGGTTGTGATCGGTCAAGGGTTGGACTCAATGATCTCAGAGGTCCTTTCCAACCTAATTGATTATGTGATTGTTCTAAGATTAATGTATGGACACTTTGAGTTTGTTTGTTGTTGTCTGGCCTGGTATTTTTTAAATAGCTGTAACAATACAGTTTAGTGGAAATTCCTCACAGTAGGAGCAGGTTACCCCATTCAATTAACTGAAATATGCACTACAGGAATCTTTATCTAGGTTACACATTGACTATTTATAAGTGTGTATTTAAAATTAAAAAACATCCAGATAACTTTGTGGTGCTGTTTTACAACAGGAAGATCAC